TTGGACTTGGCATTTTATCATGCAAGCGAGCGGTGCCGAACTTTCTAGGGTCCCACTGCCTCATGCATCGCCGCTGCTCTGTCATCTTTTTCTTCTTCTTCTTCTTCAGTTCTTCTTCTTCTTCCTCTTCTCCAGCAACCCAACCCCTTAAACCCTAAACCCTCGCAAAAAATGGACCCTACAATCCACCCACAACCGCAAACACACGACGATTGGCGGCGCCGGCGGGTAATGCGCAATCTTAAAGACGCCATTGTTAAAGATCTTGCTGCTTCAAACCCTTCAACACCCATTACCCACGACCTCCACTCCTACGTCGAGCAGCGACTGCAACAAGTCTTTCCCACATTCGATACTCCTACACACCCACCTTACGCTTGGGTAACTGACTCAGAATCACCCTGCTCTTTAGTTTTCCTGTTTTTCATTTGAGGTCATGGGGTCTTGAAAGTTTTTGTCTCGCTCTCTGAAAGCGGAAAAAGTAGTAATTGCTGAGATATTTTGGATTTAGGAAATAGAATTATGGAATCGTGTTCTGTTGTTAGTAGTCTAAAAATGGCGGTGCTTTTTTTGATTTCTAGAACCCATAAAACTTGGGCTGTGAACTTTGATAGTTTGGTACTCTTTTTTAATGGGAAGAGAATGCAAGAGATGAACTTTGGGGAAAATGGAAGTGGGATGCTAATAGAATGTTATGTTGGTTTTAGCTTAGTAATGTAAATTACCTTGTTTGGGATATATACGTATTCTGATGTTGTCTTTCTTTTTTGGCCTCTTTGTTTAGATGATACGTAGAGCGATAGTGGAGTTGAATGAGGTAAAGGGATCTAGTGAGGAGGTGATATCAAGGTTTATAGAGAAAGAGAACAAGGATTTGCCATGGGCGCATGTGACTTTGTTGAAACATCATTTGAGGAAGCTTTGTTGGGATGGAGAAATTATGTGTACCAATGATGGAAAGTATATGCTCCAACCAGATGATGGTGATTTTGGGCAGAACTGTGGGATGCCAAAAATGCGCCTTGATGAAGATGGTTATGACTGCAGTGATCCTGTACTTCTACTTGAAAGGACAGATCAGACTGCAGAGCAGAATTGTAGTGAGACTCTGCCAAGTCTGAGACGGAGAACCTCAAGGGAACAAAAGCAGCTTAAGAAATCATTGGCAAAAGCAAAGAGGTAAATCCCTGCTAGTGGTAGTTTTAACCTCAGCTTAGATTGCTTATGTGGTGACTTGGTTAGTGCTAGGAGAGAGCTCAGGGGCAAAGATCCTGTATATGCCATGGAGCTAGGGAAAACTGAAAAATTGATAATTAAGATAAAGGGGTAATACCCCTTCCTTTCTCATTGATCTTAGTTTTGCTTTATCTTCAATTTAATGAATTAGGTTTGGCTCTTGTTTTGCTTTGCAAATAGGAATCTGAAGAGCCTGGAATTGAAGAAGCAAGATGATGACCAATCCATGGTGGCCATCTCAAGTTCATCTGTCACAAGCCCAATCTTAGGCTATGCATGTTCCTTGCATCCATTGAAGGTGAATGTTGAAAAGCCAATTTTGATTGAATAAGTTGATATTTAATTTAATTCTGCTAATCAGTGCCTTGTTTGGTAGGCTATTTGCCTTGATATCTGTATGCTGTTGGCACAAAAGGTACAGAGGTCTAACAAATTGCAACTTCATTTTCTTTGGTGAAAAATAGGTAATGAAGCATGATATTAATCAACCTATGAGAAGAGAAGAAAAGAAAAATCAAGAGGATTGGCAAAAGCAAACAGAGACTATATGTGGAGAGGTGAAATCTATTGTTAGGGTGGTTGACAAACAAAAACAACCAGAAGAACAAGGAGGTAAGACGGTTGGTCAACAACAAGAACATCAAGTTGACGTCCAAACCAAGAGACTGGAGTCCTCTTTCGACAGACAATGTGATCAAAATTCAAAGGTTTCATTTTGCAAGTGTTCGGTGCCTCTACTGGAAAAGGCAAAGAAGTCTTTGAAATGGCAGCATAAAAGGAAAAATAACTGTGAGGAAAAAAAATTAATTATTGTTTGTGGTCTCATGGCAGGACAATCATCAAAATCATCGACATATTGTTGTGAAAAGGCACCAAAGTCACACAGAGAGCCAATGTCGGCATCTCTTGCATTATCCCAGGAGTTGGTGCGGCCAACAAAGAGTGCATGTGGAGAGGTGAGATCTGTTTTGAAGATAATTCACAAAGAAAAACAACCAGAAGAACAAGAAGGCAAGACAGTCGGAGAACAATATCAACAACAACAAGGGGAAATGGGAGGTATAACCAAGATATTGGGTTCTCCTTTTGGCGGGGACTGTGGTGAAAACTTGAAGGAATCTTTATTTCGGAATGGGTTGCATGAGAGTAAGCATCATGAGGGGGAAGAAGAATTGATTACTGTTTGTGATCTCTTGGCAGAACAACAGTCAGAAGTGACAGCATTTGGTCACAAGAAAGCAATGAAGTCATGCAGAGAGCCATTGCCGGCATCTCTTGAACTGTCCGGGGAACTGGGGCAGCTCAATGAGCCACATATCAAGCTTTCCAGTCCGAAAAGTTGTCCTGAGCTTGAAGCAACTTCACTGGAGAGGTTTACTCAAAATCAACAGAAGCCACTCAAGGTTTACATGCGGAGAGGGATGGACAATGCCCCGCTAAAGGTAGAAACTCCACTTAATATGTCCTCAAAATTAGAACATCTTGAAGGAATGCAGCAACTGGAGTTTAGAAGATCAGAAAACCCCCTTGAATTTGAATTAAGGACCTTGGAAGAAGATGCAGAGGGTGGGCAGGAGGAAGCTGTGTCCCACCTAGCGACTGCAAAAGCTTCTCAGAAGGAACCCTTGGGTATGCAGAAGCCAATTAAGGTTTATTTCAGGAGAAATGTACACATGCCTGATAAAAATACTAGAAACATCCCCTAGTTTATTGACCAATTCAAAATGTTTTAAAGAGAAACAATAGTTGGAGGTCCAAAATTCAGAAAGCTTTGGAATTTGATTTAAGATCCATAGGGGCAGATACCAGTTAGGAGCAAGAGGTAAGCTGTGTTGAAGATGCATCCTCTCCAGTGAAGCAAACAGTAGAAAGAAGTAGAACTTAAATGGTGCGTGGAAGCCACCTGATATCATAAACACACTGGATGTTAAGGTGTTTCTTTTAAGTTTTAATAGGGAAGAAAGGTTAGCGTTTGGTTATCGCAATGGTTTAAATCCTAATCACAACTCAAGAATTGAAGTTTTGAAATTAGTGGATATGAACTTAGATGATTTTTTATGATAATGGAGTATGCATAAACGGTATGTATACACAAGTAGCATAATATGGCAAGAAGAAAAAATTTTGATGACTTTGACTTAAGATTAGTTGACATTTTTATTTTCAGAAATTACTTGCGCAAATTGATGTTAGTCCAATGAGTTACGCAAAAAAATTTTCGATCGTGCAATACAATAACAAGAAAACGTTTGAACAACAACTTAGCTGCCAACAAGAATTAAAGCAAAAGATGAAGTGTTTCACGTGATTGTGTTTCAGAGTAATAGTAATAATAATAATGTTCTTCGATTTTTTATTAGTTAATTTCTTAATTGAAAAAACTTTGAGCTTGTTGGGCTTAGCTGTGATAATATCAGTGAACTCACTGATTTAGCTTGTAGACATGAATTAATCGAGAGCCTAAGCTTTGTTAATATCAACAGCGATACTAAACCTAAATTTAATAATTGTAAGCAGACTCAATTTGCGGGCCTGTGATCTATGTTATGATAACAGTCTTCCTGACAAGAGCAGGGGGACTGGAAGAAAGAAGAATGCCCAAGTGAAACAACTTCTTACCAAGGGATGCGGGAAGAGCGCAAGCCTTAGTTTTATATGGGAAACAAGTAAACCTTGCAAACCGGCTGATTAGCTCAGAACGGATCACGAGTAAAAAAAGGATTGTGTTAAAATGGGTTGTGAATCAATGAAAACCGATCCTAACTTGTCTATCATGGGTCATGTGTCAATCCGTGGGATGATCCAATTGAATTTTTTTTCTATAATTTGTACCTATTATTATTCAAATTATTTAAAAAAATAACACTCATCAAATTTGAGAACACCACACACTTATAAATCTTGATAGCAAAAAAAGAAAAAAGAAAAAAAATGAGAAGTAGTATGACCACCAAAAAACGCAAATCCTATTGGAACATATTTATTTTGGTCATTACTTTTAAAGAATTAATCAATTGAATGCATCTAAGTAAAAGAGAAGACCAAGTAGAATTCTTACTCGAAATAGAAAGAAAACTAAAAAGTATAAATAAGTAAACAACTTACCTTGAAGGCTCTAGAGAGAAAAGTTGGTGACAAAGAGAGCACTTGTTGGACTCGAAGGAAAAAGAGAGAAAAGGTTGAGTCAACACGACGATGACTTGGATTTGAGTCCAAGATGATGTTAAAGACTAAAGAGAAAAGGTGGGGTCAAAACTTGAAAATCGATAGCTATATGAACTATGAAGGTTGAAGAATATGAGAAGAGTTTGAATTTTAAAGAGTTAGAGTCTTAGAGAGTATTAAAGCAAACAAGAGTAGGAAAGGTCGAAAGGTGAGTCATGAGTCGAGTGGGATTATTTTTGCTTCTAAAAGATGATGAGCTAAGAGAATCAATTAGCTAATTAGGAAAAATTAGTCAATATTAGAGGTTTAGGTAGGATTGGAAATTGGAAAGCAAAATAAATAAATAATAAATTAAAAAATTTAAATTTTTAAATAGATAAACAGGTCAAATCCATTAACTCAATGAGTTAACCTATTATTGACCCACCCATCGAGTTCTTTTAATGGGTCATTAATGGGTCACGGGTCAAAAATATCTGATCTTAACCCATTTTAAACAAGTGGGTAATCGACTGGTTAGTGAGTTGGGTAAAAAATTAGTAGGTTTAGAAACAAGCAAACAAAAATAATGTATATGGATTAGTTGAGGTATAGCACAGCGTGGATTGATATTCTATGCTGTCCGTTC